TCTTTATATAAATTAAAGCTTTACTGAAACCTTTTTCTGTATTTTTTATGTCAGACTGCTTACATTCAGAACTCATATTCTGCTTGGTCTTCTTTGAGATGTTAAACAGCARCTGATGGTCAGTTCTTCTGGTTTGTCTCAACAGAGATGGGATCCCCTACTGTGAGATGGATTACCACGCCATGTTTGGTATCCAGTGTGAGAGTTGTAAGAATTACATTACTGGGAAAGTCTTGGAGGTACAGTACAAATGAAACACTGTTTGAGCAGATGGTATGCTGTGTTTGGATCAACTTAGATAGTACCTAGTTCTGACAAGTAAAGTACCAGTTTTATCTTGGTACATAGCATGGTATATAACGGGTACATACTCTGTAAGTACCATGTTTGTACATGGTATATAGCAGGTACATACTCTGTAAGTACCATGTTTGTACCTGGTATATAATAGGTACGTTACCCTGTAAGTACCCTAATTGTTCATGGTATATAGCAGATACATACCCTGAAGTACTATGTTTGTACATGGTATATAGCAGGTACGTACCCCATAAATATMATGTATGTACCTGATATAATGCTGCAGATCTACCTCCAATGATCTAAAGAAAGATTTGTGTTGGAGTGTTTCTGTAAAAGACTGGGCACAGACAAAAGTCCCCAGTCAGCATTCTGAAACCTCTGCAGTTAACTAAGGGTTTGTCAAAATATGAAAGGACTGGTATAAAACTATTTATAAATATAATAGTTATGAACGGTGTCCAAGCCCAAGCCTGTTTATGTGCATCATCCCAGCACCTTATTAATGTGTATACCACAGAGTTGTGGTAACATGAGGAGTAAGGTCTATTTGAGGCCCTAATGTCTTAAATAGATCTAGGTCTCTAAAAATRGGTTGCTCCAKATCCCTATGTTCACTGTTGCCTTCCTTTTTGTCTTTTTACTGGCATAAATCAATACATCAACTCTGCCTCTGRACATGYCCAAACCRTCTCAATCTGGCTGTCCTAACATTATCTCCCAGTTGTTCATTTGTAAGGTACTTCTGATTATCTCATTCCTAATTCTGTCCATCTTTCTATCTCCCAAGTAGAATCTCAACATCTTCMGCTTGTCTAATTCCATTTCTGCCTCACTTTTTTCTGTCARTACCACTGTTCATACAACTCTTTCATATTTTTTTCCTTTTATGTTTACTGTGATACTTTTATCATAACTCCTGAGACTTTTCTTTTTCCATTCCATCTTGGTTGGGACTTTTTCTTCACCTTTTTACCTCACTCCCAATTTTCCTGGATTGCCAACAGTTGGTTTGTGATCTGTACCACTTGTAGCCTCACTGTTCTAGATGCCTCTCTTATTAACTCTCCATTTTCATGGTCAGTTGAAATACTTGAGGTTCTGTAACTTTATGACCTCTGATTCTTGTAGCCTCTCTGTTCCACCTGCCTTCTCCCATGCAGACACAATAAAACACAATTAATAAACAACATTAGTTGGAATCAGTTGAATAACAAGGACAGAAGAAAAGTCCAAAACCCATAGGTTTAAATCAGTTAATCAACAAGGGAAAATAGTTCCAAAATAAGGAAAGAGGGAAAAAATAAGTCAAAAACTCCAGAGGAAACATTGTTAGTTTGGTAGTTAAATGTAGCTCTCCATCATTGAGTTGATTCTTTTCTTTTTCAGTCCATKGGACAAAGCTGACTTAAAAATGGTCAAAACACAAATAAGTATTTAATTTATCTACATAACATTCACTTACTATCATAGGTGTAACTTTGCGAAGGAAAGGTGTGGACATGTCCCCACCAACTTTGGCCAGACAGCGACAGTCCCTACTATTTGAAAATCATTAAATTCAAGACTATCATATTGAAAATCAAGTTCAAGAATATCAGACTGAAAAACATTAAGTGCACTTACATTACCAGAGTACTCCTAGTATTTAAGTACTTGTACAGATACAAAAAAAAATCTAAAACAAGTGTTGCACAACAATCAATATGTATCTGCACTTATTTGGAATTTCATAAAACAAACTGGCATTTTAACACAAACCAGGAAAAGTTTCCAACTAGTATAAAAAAGCTAAAGTGTCACAAGTGGTTACATAATTCAATACCTTAAGGTGTTAGGTAAAATTTGTCCTGTGAAACCACTCCAAAAATATAATTCTTTATCAGAAAAAGTTGTGTTTGGTCAACCTATAAGTGTAAGCAGCAGGCTTAAATTAGCTGTTAGCCCAATKGAGGTCTGACTGGTGGCAATAGAAATTTCAGTAAACCCACTTATAAACAAAATAGACATTTGCTGCCGACATACAGAAAAAAATAAATCAAAGGACTCACTATGAAAATAGTGTTCCAACTGAAATATTTTAATGGTACCACAATTGTTTGGAGGACCTCATGCCACAACCACAGTGGAGAGGAGGCAAAGGAAGTGATGTCATAGGAACTGACCCCTAACAATAAGGTGTCTTTATAGAACACAGTATGTATTTGCGTGTGTCGTGGCAAGAATGGTCAGAAACACCCTCCTCTTGTTACACCTAAGTTAAATCCTAAGATAAACCTAGAAACTAGTCCTCTGTGAAACAGACGCCGTTGTAACAGCACCTCACCAGCTCCCCAGTCCTCACAGGTAAAACCCAGACAGGTGAACACTGGACCCTCAAATACGTCTTCGTGGCGTGCCAGGCTCGAGGTAATGGGAACCCCCCCCCCCCCGGGATTACCACAAACGCAGAAAGAAACAAATGATCAAAAAAATGTCTGTCGATGGAAAGGTCTCAGAGACCCAGCAGAC